ATAAAAAAATCCTTTCCTGATAAGTCAAAGGCTGCTGCCTAACATCTTGTTGTAAAGGCCCACTTCTCTTGTGAGGTCAGAGGAGTTTCAGTGGATTGAGCACTCTTACTATCTCTTTCTCCTGCAGAGACCCCATTAGCATGATTTTAGTAAAGCAATGAAAAATACATAGACCAACAACCCAAAGTATTGAAGGGAGACCAGTATAGAAAAGAAATTTCAAAATGTTTTGGCAGCCTGAAAGCTGATCATGGCTTGGTGACTGCTAAACTCTTGTGGGAGCTGCAGCTGGGGACTTTGAATGCCAGGTGGGGAGGGAGTCCCGTGTGGGGCTGAACATCACAGGGTTTAATGGGATGCTCGTAGTCAGAATACTTCATGGACCCTCTTCCCCCTCCTAGACCCCACCCTATTGCACAACCGAGGACTAGGAATGAGATGTTTATCCCCCAGGCTGATCTTTGAAGAAATTGGCAGTGTTACCTGGGGAGAAGCATGATGCTAGTTTGGAAGTTAGTTTCATAGAAGGGGAGTTATACCCTGATACCTGCTCTGTGAGTCACAAACCTCTGCTCCAGGACCCAGGTCTCCCTTGCAGGTTTTCTGTTGTCTCAAATTTAAGGTTGATGTGTGACAAGGATCCACCAGACACTCCAGGTCAGCCTCTGGTGTAAGAGAGAAGGATGGAGATGAAGAAACGACAGAACAACCCATAATTAGAGAGGACCCAGGGAGTAAGAGGAGAACCTCTAACTGCCATAATGACTGGTTTTGAAAATGGCATCTGTTGAGAAGAAAGTTCTAGAAGGAGGGACCCACCAAAGAGCAAGAAAAAACTGTTGCACACTAAGACTGTTACCCACAAAACAAATTCAAAGGGTTGACTGTTGCCCAGAAAGAACAACAAAAACCCTCTGCTTGTTTTAAACTCGAGAATGTAGGGATATGACTGAAACTCCTTTTCTGTTCTCTAGAGTCTGAGGAAGATGTCCTTTCTCTTCATTTTAACTGTTCTCCCTGTGTTAGTCTGTTTCTGTTGCTTATAAAAGAATACCTGAAACTGGGTAAATTATGAAGATATCATGTTTATTTCTTACGATTTTGGAGGGTGGGAAGTCCAAGGTCTGCGGGCACATCAGGTGAAGGCTTTGTTCTTGGTGTTGACTCTAGAGCAATGCAGGGTGTCACATGGTGAAAATGGGCAGAGGAAGAAAGAGCTGACCTGCTCACTCTCCTTATGAATCCATCAGAACCACGCCCATGACAACCCCAGAAACCTTCAATGGATCAGTCCACTCATGAGGGCCCAGTCCTCATAGTCGAATCCCCTCTTAAAGACTCCACCTTTCAGTTACCATGATAGGATTTCCCACCCTCTTATCACTGTTACAGTGGAGATTAAGTTTCAAACCATTTGACCCATACCAGTGCCCATCTCGCAAATGAACAGGAAGGCGTGACGTGGCTTGCAATTTCAGAGGACCTGTCTGTGTGACTGGTAACGTGAAAGAACTGAGGAGTGTGGGGTGACATTGTTCATCCTCCTCATCCCAACATGGGTCTCATGGTTCACAGTCCACCTGAGTGGGCAGTTTGAGACCAGTCTCCACTGGAGATGACACATCACTGGACTCTCTACGTTGACATGCGCTTGATGGGGCTCAAAATCCAACATTTGTGGTGTTTCCCCAAATTCTGAATAAGCAATGATGACATTCTGCCTTTTATATGGGACTCTTTTTATAGCTTTCTCATCCTAGGAAAGCTGTCGCGGGATTTGGCCATCTCTGAGTGACCTCACAAAAAGTATGTATGTGTTTTCTTTTTCTGAAACTCGAGTCATGATTGCTTCCTTAAGTGCGGTGTGGGCGGGTTCCTCCTCAAAGTGGGGCATCAGTGGGACGTAGTGGATTTTACAGAAGGTGAAGTTGAATGTTTGTATAATATTGTAACTGCATAGAACCTTGAAAAAATGTTCCCAAGACCGTGGTAAAAAGAGCCTGGCTTTATGCTTCTCATGGATTTCTACGAGTTTCTCTTTATAAATTGGAAACCTGGGACAGTGATTATCAAGTTGTGGGTAAACTTTTCTCTACCTGAAATGGCAGATTTTTTTCTCCTAGTCATTTCCTTCTGCCATGGAGTTCACCTTTGATGTAGTAGTTAGGTGCAGGACAGGTCGTGGGTTTTCCGTGGATCATTTCCTCAATTTAGAGAAAAAGATGATGGTTGTAGGGCAGGGATTTGGTTTACATTTGAGAGAGATTGTTCTTATGTTCAGTCCTCTGATTTTGAGTCTTTGAAGAGAGCTGTCATACAGAATAAAAATTTATAGTTTAAAAATTTCTAGGTAGAAGTTTAAGTGGACACGTGGAACAATGCTGATCCCCTTCTGTTATAATGAATTGTAAGGGATTATTATTGTACTAGAATTTTAAAAATATCACTTTTTTCTAACTGTAAATTGACAGTGTACAATTATATACATTTACCAGGTACAGATGAGGTTATGGTTTATGAATAAACTGTGTAATAATTAAGCCAAGCTAGGGAGCATATCTATCAGAATGTAACTGATTGAATATTGTTTAAAATAAGTCCATGGACTGGGAATTGTAGATTTGTTACACTTTAGTTAATTTATGACAACATTTATTTTATGATACAGGTTAGCGTATGTTTGAGAATTTAGCGCTTTGAGAACTGAATGTCGACTGAAACAGTTTTTCTTTTAAAATTAGCAAAATTCCTGAGAACTGTTTCCTTTCCAATTGTTAACCTAAGATGATGTGTGTACTTTTACAGCTTTAAAGATATATTTTCTGTGGAGAGCCATTTATCTAGATATTCTGTGATACTTAAAAGGTCACTTCAGAGTCTTGTGCAGAAACGTAAGAGGGGACTGTTACAGAGCTCTGGAACTTAGGACTCACTCAGAAAGAACCTGTAAGTGGAAAATCGAACTTTCTTCTCATAGTGGATAAAGACATGAATTCTGTTAAGTGCAGGGCCAGTTATTGCTTGATTATGATAATTGTTCTTTTGTAATGAGACATGAAGTATATGCTTACTGGATATTTTAGTTGTATGTGATTTGTCCTAATCTTAAAACCTTTATTCAGACAATCATTTTCATGTTATCCCTGTCGTGACAACAATTTAAATTATGGATTTATCTGTTTGAAAATGCTTTGGAGAATTATAGATTTTAGTGGAAAGACTCCATGTAAGATTGGTTCCTGAACACTTAGGGGTTTGAGGCTGGCTCAGTCCCTAGTTTTATCTATGAACCTGGGCAAGAGTTAGTTAGGAACAACCACCCCATAGGATTGTCAGGAGAATCAAAACAGATAAACGAAAGATCTTTGTAAAGCATAAGGTGAATAAAAATTTTAATCAACTGATCTTTGCTTTTGGTCTCAGTGACCATGCATGAGGGCTAATTTTTAAAAAGGATGTAGCCTTGAAGAGGACTACTACATTTGCTAGTGATGGAAGAGAGCACAGGAACACAGTTTTTGTCTCAAATATGTGTTTTTCCAAGTGCGTATGTGTGTGCAAAATAAGAAAGGTGTTATTTGATTTGGAAAAAAAAAATCTAGTGATAAAAGAGGCTGAATGGATGAGTTGTTCTTTTTTAGAAGTGGGGCAGGGGTGAGGACATTGCTACTCTAGGTAAAACTCGACTTTCCAACCTTGTTTGCCTGACTGCCTTCTGTGTCGGCTTTTCCCTCTGTGTTCCGATCATCCTTGGGCAGTTGGTGGATATTGACTAGGACACACCGACGATCGAAGTAGCAGGTTCTGCCAAAACTTGTTGGAAGTTTTAATCTGGAACTTGTGGGACCATGTAATAAATAACTTGTGGGAATATATATAATAAGTTAATACGTGCTTATAATAGAACAGGAGCTGATATTTATTATTTGCTTAGTGTGTGCTAGGTATGGTTATGTTTATTTATACACGCTGCTTCTTTAAGACTTACAGCACTCCTCCTAGCAAAATGCTATTAGCACCCTTTTACTGATGAGGAAAGAACCTAAGAGAAATCGAGAAAGTCATTCAAAGTCATGTATTCAGCAGTAGCAGAACCTACCTTGGAGCCCAAATCTGCCTCACACCCGCATGGCCAACTTCCCTTTTCTAGTAACTCCGTTCCTTTAGGTTTGAGCTTGAAATGGTTGCATTGAGCCTTTGAAGAACCTAAACAATGTACAAGCCACTTGAGTCTTGGACGTTTTCCAGAGGCTGAGCTGAGTGCTGGATGAATCCTAGGCCACTCACATGCTGCCAGCTGTCCATGTACATGAAGGTCAGAGTTACGGTATACGCTGCTGGGATTCCAGGACAAATGTTTTGCTCCCACTTTTGCTGGCTTTGCAAATCTCTTGCTGTCCTGGGAAGGCTCAGGCCGCTCAGGGATGTGGGTGTAAGCCTAGGGGAGCCTTTGCATTTATGCGGCTTGTGAGACTTGCCGAGAAGGTACGTTTTTCTTGGGTCTTGGGTTCTAAGCATGTGTAGAATGTTGGCCTCCAGGGTCTGAGTTCTTTTGCAAAAGATGTCCCACATGCATTCCTTCATTGTTCACAGTACTCTCCCCCTATTTTGGGACCTGCCACTTTTTCTACTTAGATAACTGCAGCAGCCTCAGTTTCCCTGTTTTTAAACTCTTTTGCTTCCATTCAAACCTTTATACAGTCGCCTGATTCATTTTATGCAGAGATTTCCTGTTTGTCAGACATCTGCATTGACCTTCTGGGCTGTCTAGAGTTTTATTCCTGTGTGCTCGGACTGTGCCTTATTCTGGCTGATTATGGTACTTTCTTTCTCCCTTTCTCCTTCATTCCATTTCTCTTTGCTTGCAAATCCTTCTTTGTCTGCTTGCTTAAACCTTTTATATAATTCAAGGCCTGGTTTTATTTTAAAACTTCTCTGATTCTGCTAGCCTTCATTGATCTCTGTCTTTTTGGAACCTCCTGAATTGTATGCTTTGTAATATGTTCTATGTTGTTTCTAAGAAGTTTCTAAATAGGTTGTAAGACTTTGGGACCTTAAATTCTGCAATCTCCTTGATGCCAGGCGCATGGTAGGTATGCAGTCAACTACTTTATCTCAATTTTAGTATTTACTGAAGCCTGGTGCTTAAAATAAAGCAAAAATATTGAAATAACTACATACAGAAAACTGCTGTGATTTTAAGTTTGATGGTGGCTTTGGTGGCTGGCCAGTGTGGGGATCTGAACCCATGACCTTGGTGTTATAAGGCTGTGCTCTAACCCTCTGAGCTAACCAGTCAGCTCTATTTGATACTTCACTTCTGTGTTGATGTGTTTTTTTTTTCTCCTTTGTCTTTCCAGCAATCAAAGAGAAGTACACAGACTGGACAGAATTTCTCATACGTGATTTGACTGGTTCGCGGACAGCACCTGCCAACCTACTGGAAGGTGTATGTATTGTTGTTATACATCTCTTATGTCTCTGAAGCATCCCAGTTACGTGAGCCCAGACCTAATGAACGGCACCTTTGCATATATCCTTCCACAGATACACGTGTGCACGCAGATATCTCCATCCAAATAGCCTGATTTCCTGTTTTGTCCTGAATTACTTAGGTGACTGATTGGAATGACTTTAATCAGTCTTCCCCTGTGATGTAATCGATAAGTGGAAAATTTATATGAATGCACTTTTAAATAATAATCTTAGGAAATTTTTCTATTCTGTAAGTTTAAGCTTCTCTCTCATATTAGTGAACATAAATAAAATCCTGTGAATAACTGTTTTAGATAGGTGAAAACTAAGTGTATATGTGCACTAATATCTCTTGGAGCACGTTGATAAATGGCTCTGTTAAATATTCTGTTTCAGATACTTAACCCCAAGATTTGAACACACATGTGTTAGCTAATAATTGTAAAAACAAGAGGAGAAATGGCTGACCATATTTAAATGTAGTAAAGGCAATTTTAAGGTACTGAAGAAAAAATAAGTTTAACCTGAAATCTTGATCACTTATTAGAAGAGCATTTTATGATGAAACATTTTAATATTTACATATAAAATAGAACCAGAAGAGAAAGGTACTATGCCATAAATAATTATTGAATTACCAAATCGGTTTTTTGAGAGTGCCCCTAAAACAGGGAAAACTTAATGAATAATGAGGAATAAGGTGTGGATTTTGACAGTATCATTATTCTGTTAACCTTACTTTCCCTCTTCCCGTAAATGATATTGTAACTTCCGAGCACCACTGTCTAATATACAGTTAATGGGTTTTGTTTCATGAAGATTTTGCTGGATGTATTTGTTATGTATCTTAATAGCAACTATTTTATTTGTTGGGTTAACAAATCAAAATCACGGTTGTTCTCTCTTTCAAAGGGACAAATTGTCTTACCATGTTAATTTTTTAAAACATACTTGTCCACAAGGCTGGCTGAACAAACACCCTTTTCATATGCCAACATTTGCTAAGAGGGTTTCTTAGAAGGGGTGGTAATTATATATTCTCTGAATCAATTATTGGGTAAAGTGTACAAATCATTTTACATAATAGCCTAATTTAACTGATCATTAATGTGTGTCAGACATGTCATCTACACATATTTATGCTATGCTCACATAATCAAAGTATGCGAGCATTTAATTATTAGAGTAGTGGCCATGGTAAGGTGAATGTCCATTGAAGAGTCATGATATGAATTTATAGCCCCTTGTTAGATATATGTGTCTACTGGAAAAGTAGATATTTTGTGACCACGTGTTCTAGCTCCAGGCAAATTTGGGTATAACTCTTCTTAAAAGCATACTAATTTCCAACAAATGCAATTTTATCTGGGAAGGGTGATTTGTTTGGTGAGAACTTAGCACAAACCATTGTTTTCTATTTTCTTGTGATTTTTGTTGTTGATACAGAATTGGGTATATGGATGTGTGTGAAGGAGGAAAGGGCAGGGGGTGGTCGCTGGCGGTGCAGAGGATGGGGGTGGAGGGAGACGCCAGACTGTTTGCCAGTAGCTTGGATGATGGTGTGAAAAAATATTATCTTCTACTGTCATCTGTTTCCATGAGAACCTTAAAATAAAGTTTAAAATAAGGAGTTTTGCTTCTGTTTAAACAGCCTCTGCGAGGGAAAGGCCCTATAGACCTCATTACAGTTGATTCCTTAATAGAACTTCAGGATTCTCAGAACCCTTTTCAGTACTGGATAGTTAGTGTGATTGAAAATGTTGGAGGAAGATTACGACTTCGCTATGTGGGATTGGAGGACACTGAATCCTATGACCAGTGGTTGTTTTACTTGGATTACAGACTTCGACCAGTTGGTTGGTGTCAAGAGAATAAATACAGAATGGACCCACCTTCAGGTAAGGGTCAAAGCTTTTGCTGCTGTCGAGTATTTTAGATAAAGATGTGATATTTTCCCGGATGTGTCATTGGAAAATTTATTAGTTCTGTGGTATCTTTTACATCTGCATATGTGAATGTTAAGCATCTTAACTTTGGTACATTCTGTACATGATACATTCTATAGAGAAGAAAACCAAGACCTCAATCAGTAGTGTTCTCAGAGGAGAAAGTGATGTTGAAGGCCTTAGGGAGGTTGACCTAGTTCCTCTGGAGTTACTGGTTCAGAAATGAAAGACACATTAGATAGAGACTTGGGCATATTCTCCACTTTTTTCTTTAGGGATTTCGATACTTCTGCAAGTAGGCTCCAAAATTTCCATTCATCTGTCTATCGTCTATCTGTCCATCCATCCATTCATCATATCCCTATCCATTTTCATATTCATATCCATATTCATCTGTCCATCTACCCATCCATTTATCCATCTGTCCATCCTATTCATCCATAGCCATCCACTTCCATCCATGTTTCTTCATCCGTTCATCTATCCACCCACTCACCCAACTACCTATCCACCCGTTTACCCCCTCACCCAACCAACCAACAACCAACCAACCATCCAACCATCCATCCATCCATCCATCCACCCATCCATCCATCCATCCATGTCCATTCACATCCACCCATCCATCCACTCACCTATCCACCCATCCATCCACTCACCTATCCACCCATCCATCCACTCACCTATCCACCCATTCACCCACTCACCTGTCCACCCATTCACCCACTCACCTGTCCACCCATCCATCCACTCACCTGTCCACCCATCCATCCACTCACCCGTCCACCCATTCACCCACTCACCCGTCCACCCATTCACCCACTCACCCGCTCACCCGTCCACCCATCCACCCACTCACCCATCCACCCATCCACCCACCCATCCACCCACTCACCCATCCACCCACTCACCCATCCACCCATCCACCCATCCCTCTCTTCCTCCTTCCCTCCCTCCTTCCATCCCTCCATCCATATTCACCTATCTGAATACCCAAACCACATGCTTTTCATTATATAATCCATTCTGACCAGGAATAGCACTGAGAAAATCATTATGCTTTTCTTCCTGACACATCATTGATTTTAGTTGGCTTCAAATGTGCTATCAAATGACTTTGCACAAGCTTAATTAGAACAGTGCATTATGCTGTCTGACATACTTAACTAGTCAAAAATCTCAGTATTTACAAAATAATCATTCCTGAATGTTTACTATGTGCCAGGTGATTTTACATCTGTTGTGTTTGTTTTGATTCCAAAAAAGTGCTACGTGTTTGGTGTGAATTTCATTTCACAGTAGAGAAAATTGAGACTGGGGTTAAGCTATGTGTCCAAGGTCACCCAGCAGTAGTTCCATATTCCCGGGCCTTGTCCATCCCCCCTCTCCTCCCCATCCTCCCCTACCTCCCCTACCTCCCCTACCTCCCCATCCTCCCCTACCTCCCCTTCCTCCCCTGCTTCCCTTGGATTCTTGGGGAATTAAAGATGTCAAGGAAGAAAATACTCATCTTCTTTCAGACATTGCTCATCCTCATTCTGGTCAGTTTTACAGGTATACGAAGTACTTCAAAAAGCTCATGGAAGAATAGAATTAAGATAATGTGAATCCTTCCACAAACTTTTTGAAGACCCCCTCATATTTGGAACTTGGCTGTTTGCTTTATTAAAATCATCAGAGAATTTTCCTCCCATATTACTTGCCAGTGTTAGTTGAGTTCATGAAGGTGAAGAGTTATTTACCTTTTCTGTTACTGGGGGCTTTAATTGAAAAAACTTCCAGGTTCTATATCCCATGTGTTTGCATTTGTGTTAAATTTGACAGGCATATAGACTTGTAACATAGTATTTTATTAGTATTATTGTTGTCAAAACTTTGAGAAGCAGCCAAGAAATCCATTTATACCCTGAGTAATTTTGGACTATGATGACAAACGTGGGGCCTGTCAGCATCGTGAGAAAAGATTTAAGCTTGGGTTTGCCTTGGGATTCATAACCTAGCAGGAAAAATTTACTTTGTGAAGAAAGTTGGGTGTATAAATCTCAGCTTAGTAATCTAATTGCTTTATAAATTCTAGGAGAGACATATACTTGCCAGGGTAAAAATTTATAGCAAAGCAAAGGATTATTAGTAGCTTCTTATGTTCTCTGTAATGGTTCTTTCCTTTGAAACTGGGACTCATCCCATTCTTTTTGCTTGTGAGTATATGTCCCTGTAGAAACGAAGGAAATGTGTGCTTATGAGCTCTCTCCTTCTTTAGGTAATTTGATGTCTTTAGAATACAAAAATACATTGTATTCAGTTGAGTTAGAATTTTCTGGATGTGAGTTGTCCATTTCACTGAAGAATTTGTGGGGGTCACTAAAGAATTTGGAAAAGACATTCATCTAGAACGTACTTCCCCAATATTTAAATTGTTGGCAAGAAAGATTATGTACAGGGAGAAGAAAATAGAAGGTGAAAAGACACTTAAAATGTGACTTTTGGTTCCTCGGATACTGTAGTTACAAGATTCTGTTGTCATTGGGTGGAACACCACCCCTGGGAAGACAGGCAGTTATTACCCATGCTTTATACATGGCAGCAGAACTAGATACTTTGGATTTGTGTAAATGAATTTCAAGTTCCAGTGTGACTTATACCATGTACATGGCAGCACCCTTTCCTTAACTGAATTATAGTTGGGAATAGAAGCTCAGACTCGCATAGAAAGTATTACGCTAACGTTCTTATTCCCAAACACTGTTAAATCAATGAAAAGTGTTCATCATTAGCTGATGGTGAGGACTGGAGCTGGAGGGTGGTGTAGATGCTGTGGGTGTACGTCATGACCTCATCCCTCCTCTTACGACATTCCCCACTGTGCGCCCTCCAACATCACCACTATCGTAAAAAATAATCATAACTCTTCCTTTAGTTTTACTTAGTCTTTTTACTTTTTAAAGGACACAGTATCTTTTAACTATTCAAGTAGAGATAATAGAAAGTAGCTAGGAAGTTGATCTTCAAAAACTCCAGGAAAAGGGACTGGGTTTTATACGGTCCACCTGTGAGAAACATAGACCTATGGAGCCTTTTCATTTCTGGCCAAATCAGAGAAAATAACATTCTGGTGCTTGGGGTGGGGAGGTGAGGAAAGAGTAAAAGAAGCCTCCTCACCCTGTAAAATGGGGATAATTATACATTTACCAGGCTGCTGATGGTGTAATATCATGTGATGGCATTGTCTAGGGATTCAGGGTGTGATCAGAGTAAGACGGTTATACTTTGGTTTTCGAAGAAGTTTAAGTAGGTCATTAAGGTAAGGGGTCATTTAGGAGGCCCCATCTGTTTCTTGTTTCTGAATGTTTGGAAAGCAAGACTTTTAGATGTTCTTGCAGAAACTAGCTTAAACTTTTTGAGGTGGTTTTCGAAGAAGTTTAAGTAGGTCATTAAGGTAAGGGGTCATTTAGGAGGCCCCATCTGCTTTCTTGTTTCTGAATGTTTGGAAAGCAAGACTTTTAGATGTTCTTGCAGAAACTAGCTTAAACTTTTTGAGGTTTTTTTTTTCTTCTGTATTTCTAGAGTTTTTTTCCCTTCAAAATCCTTCTTTCAGCCTTTTTTTAAAAAAAGATTCTTGTTTTAGATAGTTCCTGGCGTCAGGAAGTTTCTGAATCTCATTTAAGTGCTTCCTGCCACCTGAACTGTTTCTTAGTCCAAAAGGGTCATTGCTTTCTGTATCAGGCTGCTGTGTTGTCAGAACAAAGGCTGGGGCTTCAACAACAGGCATTGATTTTCTCACAGTTCCGGAAGATGGAAGTCCAAGATCAGGGTTGCAGGATGGTCAAGGTCTGGTGAGGGCCCTCTTCCTGGTTTACAGACTGCTGCCTTCTCACGGTGTCCTCATGTGGTGGATCAAGAGAGAGCTCTGATGTCTCTTCTTATAAGGACACTAATCTCATCTTGAGGGCTCCACCCACATGGCCTCATCTAACTCTAATCACCTTCCAGAGGCCCCTTCTCTAAAATGCCATCACATTAGGGGTTAGGGCTTCAACATGGGAATTTGGGGAGGATACAAGCATTCAGTCCATAACACTTTTCAACTACAGATTAGTCTTTCCTCACTATTGAGGACGTGGTAGAGAAGGGAGGAATGGAGGTTTGGGGGGAGGCATCACAAAAGAAAGGATTACCCCTCAAGGCCTTCGTTTATTTGTGATTATTTTATGTGTTCATTTTATGTGTTCCTGCTTCCTGCAGCACTTGTTATGAAGCAGCCCACCAAACACTTGCAGGAAGGGAGGGCAACCCATTTTCTTGTGGGCTTCTGGTTTCAGATGAATCAGGACATGTTTTAATTGACTTCCCCACAAACAGAAATTGACGTGATGCACTCCATTAAATCACGTGATCACAGTCATTTTAAGGAAATGTCTTATGTTCTTTTAATGGCGCTATTTACTGTCCATAAACTTGCCAGTGTAACCAGAGTGCCTCCGTCCCATGGGATGTGCATGGGGACGCTATGGGTGAGCAGAACTCACAGCCCTCAGTTGAGTCTTGCCTGTTCGGAAGACAAGGCTGCCTTGCAACAGGGTGAGATTCTGTTTTAGGATTTAATATCCTCAGAAAGAAGACATAGAATCTTCAGGTGGTAGGACAGAGGCAGAAATCACCTGGGACCAGCTTCCTGTTCCATTTGTCTCTAGTGTGGATGGGGTCAGCTTTGTGGGGATGATGTGGCGGTCAGTGAGCCTGTGCCAATATGTTTGAGGCGGCTCAGAGGGCCTTGACACCCCTGCTGAGGTCTGTACGTCACCTTGCTGAGTTCTCTCTAGTTTTGATCCAACCCTGGCCATATTGGATTTTCATTCCTACTGGCCTTGAGTAAATTTTTTTTAGCTGCTCTTTTACCCTCTTCTCTGTCCCGGGGGCTCCCACCCTCTCACTCAGAGGTCACAGTCAAGGGAAGAACTAGTCTGATTACAGAGCTAGAGAGTCAAGGGCAGGCTGTTTGTCTGTTTGTTTGTTTTTTTCTTTTAACCCTTTGTGTCTTCAGACCCTTTCTTTGGGCTTGACTTTGGAAATACCAATCGTTTTTCTTGGGTTGGTCCTTTTCTTGCCACACCAGGGTGGAACTCCCTGTCTGCCTCCTTCCAGATGGCTGGAAAAGTCCATTTGTTCACGTCTCTCTCCTGACCCCTCTGGTCTGCTGCATTAGTGTCCTCTGGGCTTTGCTCCTAGAGTCCTGAACTGTCCCCATTCTTACCTGTGGAGTTCAAAGGAACCGTTCATTTAGTCTCTGCAGAAGTGTTTATTGAGGCCTCACTATGTGCCCCCAAATATGTTAGATACTGCTAAGAAGAATCATATTCTATTTTTGTTCTGACATAGAAATGCCATATTGGAATAAAAAAACAAATACCCCCAGGGATAGAAGAGCATACGTGAAATGCTAGAAAGGATTATAAATATACAGAAGTGGCAGATATTTTTTCAGAAATGACCTGTTGTGTGACTAACAATATAGTGGGCTATGTGTTGATCATGGGGCTAGTTCTGGTGGCATCTTACACTTCCCATAATGATGTCCCAAAAAGATTAAACAAACTGCCAAAACAGAGGGGCTTAAAGCCCAAGGACAGTTCAGACGCTATACAGATTAAAATATATGGCCCCATGTTAAAAAACAGACATGCAAGAAATTAAAAATATAGCCCCAAAGGTTTAATGTTGCCTTTTAACTGTGCTTAAATTCGTATTCATATCTTGGTGTCTGTCTGAAGTAGCCTGGGTTGATATAGTGCAGGTATAAACATATCTACTTTTGGTGAGTGCTTCTGCAAATCCTATTTTGAATAAGGTCTTAAATCTGTTGAGATCAGGCCATAAAATTCCCCTGCAGTATCAGCAATAGGTAAAAACAGTGCTCAACACTTTCTTCTTTTAATTTTGCATTTAGGCTATGTAACCTCTCTCTGTAAATCTCTCTCCCGCCACCACCTGGGGAAAAATACAGGCAACATGTGTGTTAGCAACATTTCAAGTGTAAATATTAAACTTGGTAAATTTTAATTTACTTTTTTATAATTTTCTGACTTACATGGACTATTTTTAGCATATGAGAGCTTAGAGATTTAGTGAAAAATATGTTGTAATAACTACAAATGCCAGACGAGAGTCATTTGTAGTTTAGAAATGTATCAGATAGTAAGTTCCTCATCAGTGGGTGTTGCTTCCTAGGTGATACATGGAATTTGGGGCATTCGATGACTGAAGGTTTTGCTAATGTGATTATACCATTAAATTACTCACAGAAAGCCAACCAAATGCATGCAAATGTTCCCTGAAGAGGAGCCCTATGACGTTTTAGTCTTCATTTCTGGTAGCAGAATCCCAGGTTGCTATTAAATTTCAGAAAATCCCTTTAGCAGGTTGGTTGTTTACAGCAGGCAGGGTGTGAACTCTTAGGGTTACTGAGCGTGGTGAGGTATTAAGAAAGCCTGGGAAGATAAAATTCAAGAAAGAACCACCCAGCAGAACACTGTAGTCCTTAAACCCTTGTGTGGTTTGCTGTTGATACAGAAATCTATCCTTTGAAGATGGCCTCTGAATGGAAATGTGCTCTGGAAAAATCCCTTATTGATGCTGCAAAGTTTCCTCTTCCAATGGAAGTATTTAAGGTAAGATGTTGAATCTTAGCAATTCATCTACTCTTTCAAGCATGAACTGTTTAAAAAGTTTTCTATATCAAATCCTTTTGCACTGTTTGAAAAACTACGTTCTCAGCTAGTTTCCTTTTTAAATGTTTAAAATTTTGTCTGTTCTATTTTGCCATGTTTTTATAATCTTCATAAATACTCATATTATGAGATACTGATTAAAATTTTATAGGTTTACTGTTTTTCTCCGTAATGTATTATTATAGAAATCTCATCTTCACCCCCTCACCTCTCACGAAAGAAACAAAAGAAAATATAGCAAATCAAATTTTGCCATTGGTTTAGTAAAAAATGATAGAAAATGATGCTTCTCTTGGTGGTTCAGTTTTCTTGATGGTTCAAGAAAGTCGTCCTGACTATCTGCTAGGCACCAGGACTTCCCAGGTGCTCATACCGAGATGAAGAGCTTGTGACACATACCTCAATTGCAAGGGATGGCTGAGTTCTTAACACTTGTAAAACTGTGCTTCAAACTTGTGTGAAATGCAATATTACATTCTGGGCAAGAATAGTCCAGGTAGGCCAGAGGAGACCATAAACAGATCTTTCTTATTTGCAACTGGAATATGTAGGAAGACTGTTCCACACTGATAGTCTCCTAGGACAACCCTCGGTTGGACGTCAGATTTGACCCACGTCAACTTACTTGTTGGATACGAGGAGTGGATACCTGCAGTGGAGTGGAAGTGTCCTGGGGAGGATGAAATTGTGAAATGGCATTTGCTACAACGCACGTAGCAAGTGTTGAAGGCTTTGGCTGGGGTGTGGGCTTCTCGGATTTTATTCACACCCCGGGTCCCCACTTAGAATTTTAAGTAATAAAAGCAAATCATCAGCCTTTTTGTTCAGCACTTCCCCGTTTGTAAAATTGGACGTGTTAAGACTTCTTCTGAAACTTAGCTATATAATTATGTTCTGTCATTTAGCCTAGTGATGATTTTTGCTGTACTTGGGGCCTGCTGTCCTAGATGAACAGTAGTCCTCTGCAGGGAAGACTGGGAGAGGTCAGAATATCTTATCCACACTTATTTTATGAGCTCCTGTTCACCTCCAGTTCCAGCCACATCTGGTGTTCCTAGTTTCTGAGCCTTCCAAAGATTCTGCAGTATTAATTGAGCTGGTTCTCAGCTTTTCTGCTGAAGGCTTGGGATTTGGCTTTGCTGAATGCGTTAAATTAGCTGAATATGGTAAATTAGCTTTCTTAGCTTCCATACCTTTGTTGCTGCTGAGATTGTCTTTTCTTAAAAAAAAAAAAAAAATCTCTTTACCACATTTAAAGTAATGTGGGTTTTTAATCTGCCAACTCAACCTAGCACTGTTGTTTTTAAAAATCATGCTTTCTTAGCTTCCATACCTTTGTTGCTGCTGAGATTGTCTTTTCTTAAAAAAAAAAAAAAATCTCTTTACCACATTTAAAGTAATGTGGGTTTTTAGTCTGCCAACTCAACCTAGCACTGTTGTTTTTAAAAATCATGTAGTTAGGACTCCAGGGTAAGATAAAGCTGCCACATCCTCCCCAGACGCGCCAAGCCTGGTGTGATCTCACCAAGCTTCGCCTTGCAGTCTCTCGTAGAGCCGTTTCCTCCTCGGTGTTCCAGTTGCTTCCACGCTGGCTATTTTTATGTTCTTCAGATGTCCTTTGTGCCTGCTTCAATCTCTCTGTTAAATTCCTACAAATTGTTCAAACTCAAATATAAATTCTCTAGAGGAAACCTTCCCTGCACCCCGGCCTCAATCCTGCCCAGATGAGCGTGGGCCTCTGTCAGGGGCCTTTACAGCATCCTGTTGCATCAGACTTACACTTAACCATTGTGCATTCCTTGTGTGATATCCCTCTCTTTTACCTAACTTTGAAGCTCCAGTAAGGCAAGGACCTTGTCTTTCTTGTTCATTGTTGGAAACATAATTTCTTGACCTTAAAAACTCAATAAATACTCAATAAGTATTTGTCAGATAAATGAACTAATTCTTGAATGGACATAGGTCTTTAACTCATTGAATTTAAAAATTTGGAGCTAATGTAGTTACAGATTAATTGGATATGCAGACTTACTATTTAGAACTATGAATACTACAACTTGAAGGGTATGAACATTAATAATCCTAATGTGTTTCTAAATAAAAATTAACTAATTAATTAAACATTTATTGAGCAGCTCTTCTTTGCAAAAGGCTATTCTGTGCTGTTGACCTGATTCAAGGGTTTAATAGTTTTATATTTTCAAAAACATAATTACCTTCTTCCCTGACTTTAATTCCTTCCTGTGAGAGTTT